TCTGTGCCGCGCAGGTAGGGGCCTCCCCCTGTATCCCCCAGTCAGAGCTGCTGCCCTGGCCCTGGCAGGGCTGGGAGGTGGCACAGAGGAGGACAGGGCTGGTCTAGTGGGGTGGGGGGGAAGCCCCTCGTGAAATTCTAAGTGTAAGGTCCCTCAGTCCTATAGGAGTAGTACTGGCCTTGCACCCAAGGTGGGACAGGAGCCCATGGCAGGGCTCTGGTGGCAAGGGTGATAGGCATAGAGTGAGGACCACCCCAGGGTACCCCCAAGATCGAAGCTTGCTCCTTCCCTGCTGCCTCCACTGTGCCTCAGCCTTGGACGTAGTGCAAGCAACAAAATAAACCATCCTGGCCCACACCAGCTGCACTGTGCTTACTGCAGGGGGGCAGGATCAGCCCCTGGGGTGGGGGCCACAGTGTCAACAGGGGGCAGCAGGCTCAGCCCCAGCACCACACACTATGCTCAGACCACCATTTATTCATCTGCTGCTGTGCACAGAGCCCTGGGCCTGCCCCTGCCTTCCTCTAGGGCTGGAAGCCAATGCAGACCACCCCTCCCACCCTGCCTGGGGAAGGGGGCCAGGACCACATCACAGGGCTCTGCCCCCCTCAGCTGAAGAGGCACAAATCCAGGCATAGGGGGGGCCCACCATCCCCACCTGGCACAACAGGGAAGGAAGATGGTGAGTTTCCCTTTTCCCAAGCCTGCCTGTTCCTTTCCCCTTGCTTTGATGCTCATGGATGGCAGCCATGGCCACCCCCCTGCAGCCACAGCTCCTTGAGAGGGTTCTCTGTCCCTCTGCCTGGCCCAGCTCCATGCAGTCATGCCAGCAACCATGCTTAGTGCCATCCTTTGTCTCAAGGACCAGAAATCAAGCAGCTCCACTCTGTGGCTGTTGCACAGCACATCTTCCTCCCCATGCAAGGCAGTGCTTCTCAGGCATCATTGGGGCACTGCATGGTGCCCAGCACCCGGCTTCTACTCTAAGGCCAGCTGCAGGCATCGCTCATAGAGAGTGCCACTGCTGTCCTGTGTCTTCCAGTCTGGATGCTCAGCCTTAGAGGTCACATGTGGAAGACGCCAGCGCCTCAGGGACTTTTTGAGATGCCGTGCAGGTACTAGCACAGCCTGGGTCGCTGCAGTACAGCTGCCAGAGAAACAAAGCTGTGAGCATTGGCATCTCTGCAGCACTGACATCCATTGCCTTCTATCCCAATACTGCTCATGGCACAGCAGAGCAGGGAATAACACTTGCAATGCCAGCTTCATGCTATGCCTGCAGGACAGCACCCAGCCCCACCACGCCATCCCTCCTGACCACACAGGGTAGGAAGCCCCACACAGGCCAAGTTCCCTTGACCTGCTATACTTACTTGTGCTGTAGGCCCTCGTTGCAGTCAGTGGGTGGCTCCAGAACAAAGCAGTCTGTGGCAATGTGGTCAGCCAGGGCAGCCACCTCCACATCACCTAGGACCCTTGCCCTGCGCAGGAACCGTGCCAGCCTACGGGCACAGGAGGGCAGCAGTCAGAAGCTGCTGGCCAGGGTGGGCATCCTGCTGGGTCCCACCTCATCTGACCCCAAACTACCTGTTTGCAGTGCCCTGAAATGGTGGGAAAATCCCTGCCTTTTCCTCCTGGACACGCACCTGTGAGTGCAGTTGCAGTGGAAGAGTGTCTGGGTGCCCACGTTGTGCAGCTGGTACTTCACCTCATGGGGTGCGATCTGGTGCTCACACTTGTCCAGGTGCTTGTAGCACCTGCACACCCTGTGTGGGCCTGAGGACAGCAGGGCAGTGAGGGGCACAGCCAGCACACAACCCCACCAGGCTGAGGCCTCAGGACACCCCAGCAGCAGTGCATGCTCTCCCCCCACACTGACTCACTGGGCTGCCTGTGCCTCTCCACGGTGGGCACAGGGGTGGCTCTGCAGTGCTCCACAGCCTGGCTGGATCTGATGCTGCCACCCTGAGCGTGGGCTGTGCAGGCAGGGTGCACTGAGCCCTGAGCCCCATGCTGTGCTCTTCCCAGCACTTGCTTTCTTCCAGCAAGGTCTTGTTCCAACACCGTCATTGCTGTTGGGGGGCCAGGCTCCAGCCCCCACTGTGCTGCTGGGTGTGGGTGTCTGGTTGTAGGCTCAGCCTTGTCCCTGACAGGCACAGGAGACAAGGTACCTGGGCCCCGTGGCTGCTGGGCTGTCGCAGGTCTCTGTGCCCGGTGGAGCCCAGGGTTTTGCCCCAGTCTTTGTCGGAGCTGCTTACGCCCTGCTCTAGAGGGCTTCATTCTCTTGCCCAGGGGCTGCACAACAGAGGTGCCTATCTCCTCCGTGGGCAGGCTGTACTGGTACTGATTTTGCTGCACCATCCTGGCCAGGGGTACTACACCGTAACGCTCACACCTGGGGACACCACATGCCATGAGTCCCTGCACACCAGCCCCAGTTGCGCCCCCCTGCAGCCGGCAGGGCACACCGGGGGCCACAGCAGCAGGGGCACCCCCGGGGTACTTACCCCCCCCACCAGTGCCACTGCACACACTCCTCGCTTTCCTCCAGCACAAAGCATGGCACCTCCAGCAGGTTGAAGAAAGTGACGCCGATGATGTTGGAGATGGTGTCGTTGAGGGCCAGCAGGCACTGCCGGAACCTGCGGGGCAGACGGGGACGGTGAGAGGCCCTGCGGCCCCCCGGTGTGCCCCCCTCCCGGCCCAGCGCACCTGGCGTCGCAGTCGCAGTGAGAGACAGTGTGCAGGCGGTAGTTGCGGATGCCGTAGTTGAACTGCAGCGCCGTGATCTGCGCCGAGCAGTGGTCGTGCTCCCGGCAGCACAGGTCGGGGCCGAGGAAGAGACCTGCGGGCAGCAGCC